GAGCCCTGGCTGGGATGATTTAGTTGGGGTTGGTCCTGATTTGAGCAGGGGATTGGACAAGCTGACCTCCTGAAGTTTCTTCCAACCCTAATATTCTATGATTCTAAAAGCATCATACACAAAGTGTAAGGCAAGATTCAATTCTTGATGGGGGGGTTGGGTTGAGCAATATCCACCTCCTGATCTGTGTGTCAGCATTTAGATTTGGGTTTTTAAAGCATATGGTCAAAAGTTTCATGTAGAACCTGGGTTATTATATCAATAAATGAAAAAAAAAACCTATTACGTATTGCACAACCTAATGGGAAAGGTGCTCTAGCCTGTTACAGGTCAGATTAGGTGATCAAAATGGTCCAATCTGCCCTTAAAACCCATAAATCATTAATCTCTAGCCTGTGCTGTCTTCTCTTGATTCCAGCACCCCAACAGACATGGCAGAAATCTTGTGGAAATATCTGTTCTTATGTCAGTGCTGTTATTGCTGCTTCAGTTCTGCACCCTCCAATACTTTTTGGGTACAGCAAGTTCCCTCCTTCTCAAAGCCCCCACTTACCATTTGCTGCCTCAAGGGAGGAGAGTCTAAGGGCCTTCAAACCCCTCCTTGACTATCCAGAGAGGCATTAGCCATATCATTCCCTGTGCAGGGAAGGAGGGGAGATATCAGGTCTGACCACTGCCCTTCTTATCCAACAAGGTTTTCTGGGTTCCTTAGCCACCTGGACAGCCACACCTGGGTAAATGGGATGTCAGGGTGGGTACAAAGTGAGGCGACAAAGGGCTTGGGGAAGGCAGCTAGAAAGGGTGGGGAAGAGAGGTTGGAGGCCCTCCATCCTAACCCTGAAAATTCCAGAGGTGGGGCAGCAGGGTTGCTATTGCCTTCTGAAAATACCAGTGGGAGCTAGGGCCTTCACCCAGACACCCTGTGGAAGGAGTCTGGGTTGGCTGCAGGGGTCGGCACCACCATGTTGCACGACGGACACTTGACAAAATTACCGTACTTAGTGACGGACGTTGAGGGTGGGGGGAGGAGGATGTCATTCAGTCATTCAATTTTTTTGAAAAATTACCACGGACCTCAAAATGTTTACCACGGACACTTGTGTCCATGTACAGACATGTTGATGACCACTGGTTGGCTGGGAGAAGGATGACTACGAGTAACATAGGAATATGCTGCTAAATGGGGCAAAACTACATGACAGCAAGAATGGGTTGAAAACTGCATCAGTTTTCAGGCCTTGACAACTGATTATTCAAATAGGTAGCATGTACAGCTCATCAGGATGCACTTAAAACCACAGGTGCCTGAGAGTTAAGCAGGCCTTAAACCCCCAATGTATCCCTTGTATTTGTGTTTAAAAATGTTGGCAACTATGTCTTATCTGCAAAGTGGAGCTTGATAAGGCCGAGCAGCCTTCTGTAAATCCCACTGGACTCCCCAGTTAAAATGAGAACAGGACAATGTTAGGATTAGCAGAAGGTGTCGTTCTGTGCCTTTAAATGCATAGGCAACTCTCCGGCTGCTGTTGGGGCAGTTATCTTTTTGTGTTTCAGTTTAGACACAGAAAGTTACATATCAGAGAAATCTGTATGGAACATAGGATTGCAAAACAGCAAAGAGGTCAGAGAAAGTGAATATATTTCCTGGTTAAAAGAAAGGAAGAAGAAAGTCTAATGGTACTTACGGTCAATGGAAGGGTTCCAGTTTAATGAAAAAGAGGAAGGCTTTTTGAAGCTTATGTTCAGAGACTTGAATAATATTTTCAAGCAGATCTTATTCAGGACAATGTCAATGGAGCTTTTCTTTTAGCAATAATAACACTGTTCATTTTAGGTTCAGTACAGATTGGTTTCTATTTTACCAAGTCTGGTTCATCCTTGAATCTGACTCCTCTTCAAGTAGTCCTTGCATGTCTCAAATTTTTCACAGGAGCTAATAAATTGTCCTTCATTCCAACTTTTCTTTCGTAAAGCCCTGCAAAAGGGCTTGTGGCATTTTCAGCACCCATACTTTGCAGTTACAATATAGTCTCAAGACTTGTGGTGCTGTGTTGATTTTTAAAGACACAACCAGTCTATAACTAGTAAATATTTATACACAGAATTTTCATCAGTTCCTTAATACATCTGGCAAAACATTATTAAATGCTCTAGCTGTTTTTCTGAACAGACAGTGAAACTGTGATGCATGAAATTAAAAGTTCCAAATGTGAAAATCACACTACGAAACTGCTTAGAAAGACGGCAGCACATGCCCACACCTGATCCACTTCATAAACACACACATCAACGGCATTTACACATCCAAGAGAAATGTGCCATTTGTGAACATGCCAAAAGAGCAGCAAAGCCAAATGGTGTGAAATACCTTAGGATAATTTCTTCAGCATATGTCGTGTGTATGGGTGAGGCTGGAGACACAAGGGTAATATGATCATGTTTATTAGCAGCGTATCTATCATCTATCTAGATGGATTATAGAGATAGAGATATACAGTACATGATATAGCCACTGTCTACTTTCTCTTGGGCTATAATACTAGCACGTCTCTGTATAGTGTCTGAGCACTTTGCAGGTTAATAAAGGTCCCTAGTGAACTTCATGGAATCTTTAGCTCTTTTATCCCTTTTCTAATTACAGAAATCTAAATTTGGGGTAGGGTTTTTTGTTGGTTTGTTTTTTGTGGGAAGTGGGTGTTGGGGAGCAGCAGGGATGTGTCGCTTGTTGAAAACATCCATCTGGTTCTGATGGAAAACCTGCATCAAAAAGGAAGCTGTTTCAGTGTGACCTACAGATAACCAGAATCTGGATTAGTCTAATCTACTCTGGAAAGTTC